GAGATCTTAAAGTCACATATGTTTATCGATAACCTCCGGGGCTTGTCCTACAGTTCATAACAATTATGATGAGGAAAAATAATTAACCAGTGGTTATATAGCTGAACTGCCATCCTTAAAAAAATTAGCTGAACATTTTTTCAAAATAATACTAGATTTCAAATTAAGTATTAACGTACGGAAAAAATAAAAAAAAAGTTTTGATATCAAATTCTGTGCATATAATTATGAGCATTTAGTTTCACGATTTAATCTAATGTAAGATTGATAGATAACATTCAAGCAAGAGCGAGAGAGCAAGAGTAAGTTCAATATTTATAGCATATACTCGGTTGCAGTCAAAAGAGAAAAACTCATGTCGTCGCTTGCTTTGGCTGTGCGCTCAGATATATTGCTATAGTCAACATTTCCACTCCTCTCCTCGTAGGCACACATTCGGTATACCCCTTCTACATGTCGCCAAAATGTGCGCCTATATGCTCGTTTCCACGCGAATCCACTTCTCTTCTTGTAGGCGCACGCTCTTCGATACGAGTCTCGTCTCGCACTCTCGAAAAATGTGCGCCTTGGTTCGACGGCTGGCCGCGGTGGGTTGCCCCGATCAGCGGAAAAAAGTTGTCTCACGCCGTAGCATTGGCGTTAGCAATCTCTCTACTCATCTCTGCCTCTAGCCAGTAAGACTTACTTGTAACAACAACAGCTTGTAAAGACGGTATAACGAAAGTTTCATAGAAACAATAATAATAATTCTGATTTATCTACAAAGTGTTCAGTGCTTTTCCCTTCTTGTTATGCATCCTGGCTTTTTCCCGAATCCTGAAAGCCTCGCGCAGTGGATTTAAACGTCAACAATATGAAATCAAAACAGACATGAAAATATACAATAGAATAATAACAAACGAAAAGAAAAAAAGAAGATTGAATAAAAAAAAAAAAAAAAAATGAAATAAAGGAAATTAGAAAATAACGAAAAAATGAAAATCAAAAAACCAGGGGGTATAAATGGGTCATGGGACTTACGGTAAGAACGAAGTTCTTTAAACAAACATGAGATGAGTGCCGAAAAATAATTAAAAATGAGATGTGTGTCGAAAAATATAAATACAATTTCTTAGGTAACAAGGGGGTCGCGAGACCCATAGGAATAACGAAGCTCTATAAAAATAAGTACGACATTCATGTAGTTCAGTAAAACAAAAACTTGTAAAACGAAAAAGAAAAAAAAAAAAAAAAAAATTAGTTCAGTACTCACGATGGTTGAAGTTCGTGAGTACAATATTTATGCACAACGTACTCGTGTTTCATTTCGGTTTTTTTTTTTTTTTTTTTTTTTTTTTTTTTTTTTTTTTTTTTTTTTTTTTTTTTT